GGTAACAATGCACACATAGGCAGCCTGGTATACAGAATATACTGCTCTGGGGGTAACAATGCACACATAGCCAGTCTGGTATACAGCATATACTGCTCTAGGGGTAACAATGCACACATAGACAGCCTGGTATACAGAATATACTGCTCTGGGTAACAATGCACACATAGCCAGCCTGGTATACAGAATACACTGCTCTAGGGGTAACAATTCACACATAGCCAGCCTGCTATACAGAATATACTGCTCTGGGTAACAATGCACACATAGCCAGCCTGGTATACAGAATATACTGCTCTGGGGGTACAATGCACATAGCCAAGCCTGGTATACAAGAATATACTGCTCTGGGTAACAATGCACATAGCCTGCTATGTGGGAATATACTGCTCTGGGTAACAATACACATAAGACAGCCTGGTATACAGAATATACTGCTCTGGGGTAACAATGCACACATAGCCAGCCTGGTATACAGAATATACTGCTCTGGGGTAACAATGCACACATAGCCAGCCTGGTATACAGAATATACTGCTCTGGGGTAACAATGCACACATAGCCAGCCTGGTATACAGAATATACTGCTCTGGGTAACAATGCACACATAGCCTGCTATACAGAATATACTGCTCTGGGTAACAATGCACACATAGACAGCCTGGTATACAGAATATACTGCTCTGGGGTAACAATGCACACATAGCCAGCCTGGTATACAGAATATACTGCTCTGGGGTAACAATGCACACATAGCCAGCCTGGTATACAGAATATACTGCTCTGGGGTAACAATGCACACATAGCCAGCCTTCTATACAGAATATACTGCTCTGGGTAACAATGCACACATAGCCAGCCTGGTATACAGAATATACTGCTCTGGGGTAACAATGCACACATAGACAGTCTGGTATACAGAATATACTGCTCTGGGGTAACAATGCACACATAGCCAGCCTGGTATACAGAATATACTGCTCTGGGTAACAATGCACACATAGCCTGCTATACAGAATATACTGCTCTGGGTAACAATGCACACATAGACAGCCTGGTATACAGAATATACTGCTCTGGGGTAACAATGCACACATAGCCAGCCTGGTATACAGAATATACTGCTCTGGGTAACAATGCACACATAGCCAGCCTGCTATACAGAATATACTGCTCTGGGGTAACAATGCACACATAGCCAGCCTGGTATACAGAATATACTGCTCTGGGTAACAATGCACACATAGCCTGCTATACAGAATATACTACTCTGGGTAACAATGCACACATAGCCTGCTATACAGAATATACTACTCTGGGTAACAATGCACACATAGACAGCCTGGTATACAGAATATACTGCTCTGGGGTAACAGTTGTATTACTGTCTTCCTGTATTGGTAATATCAATGTTTTACATTTTTGTGTCTAGTGACAGCATGTCTTATTTCTCTCTTAAATTATAAAAAATAAATAAAATAAAAACTTGCAGGGACATTGTCTTTGCACCATAACCACTTCAGATAGGATGACTTGGTTGTGGTGGTTATGGTTTGTATGAATCCTTCAAAATTCTGATAGTTAATACTGATTATTATATAAAGTATTACTCTATGGTACAGAATAGCCTGTAATCCAAGGCAGCTGTCTCATATTTCATTCTAATTTTTTTGTTTAACTCCCATACTGAATGATTCCAGTAAAAACAAGATTCATCAATGTGAACCAACCCCTTCTCTGCCAAGAGGAGGGTGTGAACGCCCTGCAGAGAGAGACACCCCACCCCCCTTAAACATGACCAATAGAAATGGATCCCTGATTCATCACAGCCTCTACTGACTGCTTGCAAAATAAATAAATATATAAATCAATCAATCTGCAGCTTTCCACTGAACTACATTTCCCGGCATGCCTCGTTTGCACTTCCGTAAATACAGCCCTGGCTGTTCCTTGAATGATTTGCAACATTCTATACAGAATATACCGCTCTGGGGTAACAATGCACACATAGCCAGCCTGGTATACAGAATATACTGCTCTGGGGTAACAATGCACACATAGCCAGCCTGGTATACAGAATATACTGCTCTGGGGTAACAATGCACACATAGCCAGCCTGCTATACAGAATATACTGCTCTGGGTAACAATGCACACATAGCCAGCCTAGTATACAGAATATACTGCTCTGGGTAACAATGCACACATAGCCAGCCTGCTATACAGAATATACTGCTCTGGGTAACAATGCACACATAGCCAGCCTGGTATACAGAAAATACTGCTCTGGGGTAACAATGCACACATAGCCAGCCTGGTATACAGAATATACTGCTCTGGGGTAACAATGCACACATAGCCAGCCTGGTATACAGAATATACTGCTCTGGGGTAACAATGCACACATAGCCAGCCTGGTATACAGAATATACTGCTCTGGGGTAACAATGCACACATAGCCAGCCTGGTATACAGAATATACTGCTCTGGGGTAACAATGCACACATAGCCAGCCTGGTATACAGAATATACTGCTCTGGGTAACAATGCACACATAGCCTGCTATACAGAATATACTGCTCTGGGTAACAATGCACACATAGACAGCCTGGTATACAGAATATACTGCTCTGGGGTAACAATGCACACATAGCCAGCCTGGTATACAGAATATACTGCTCTGGGGTAACAATGCACACATAGCCAGCCTTCTATACAGAATATACTGCTCTGGGTAACAATGCACACATAGCCAGCCTGCTATACAGAATATACTGCTCTGGGGTAACAATGCACACATAGCCAGCCTGGTATACAGAATATACTGCTCTGGGTAACAATGCACACATAGCCTGCTATACAGAATATACTACTCTGGGTAACAATGCACACATAGACAGCCTGGTATACAGAATATACTGCTCTGGGGTAACAGTTGTATTACTGTCTTCCTGTATTGGTAATGTCAATGTTTTACATTTTTGTGTCTAGTGACAGCATGTCTTATTTCTCTCTTAAATTATAAAAAATAAATAAAATAAAAACTTGCAGGGACATTGTCTTTGCACCATAACCACTTCAGATAGGATGACTTGGTTGTGGTGGTTATGGTTTGTATGAATCCTTCCAAATTCTGATTGTTAATACTGATTATTATATAAAGTATTACTCTATGGTACAGAATAGCCTGTAATCCAAGGCAGCTACCTAATATTTCATTCTAATTTTTTTGTTTAACTCCCATACTGAATGATTCCAGTAAAAACAAGATTCATCAATGTGAACCAACCCCTTCTCTGCCAAGAGGAGGGTGTGAACGCCCTGCAGAGAGAGACACCCCACCCCCCTTAAACATGACCAATAGAAATGGATCCCTGATTCATCACAGCCTCTACTGACTGCTTGCAAAATAAATAAATATATAAATCAATCAATCTGCAGCTTTCCACTGAACTACATTTCCCGGCATGCCTCGTTTGCACTTCCGTAAATACAGCCCTGGCTGTTCCTTGAATGATTTGCAACATTCTATACAGAATATACCGCTCTGGGGTAACAATGCACACATAGCCAGCCTGGTATACAGAATATACTGCTCTGGGGTAACAATGCACACATAGCCAGCCTGGTATACAGAATATACTGCTCTGGGGTAACAATGCACACATTGCCAGCCTGCTATACAGAATATACTGCTCTGGGGTTACAGTGCACACGTAGCCAGCCTGGTATACATAATATACTGCTCTGGGTAACAATGCACACATAGCCAGCCTGGTATACAGAATATACTGCTCTGGGGTAACAATGCACACATAGCCAGCCTGGTATACAGAATATACTGCTCTGGGTAACAATGCACACATAGCCAGCCTGCTATACAGAATATACTGCTCTGGGAAACCTTCCAATCAGCTGTTCCATCCTAACCTGCCCTCCATTGGTGAGTAGCTGTGTTGATTGTTGATGTTTTCCTGGTAACATTGTTTCACTGAGAGGTGAATGAATGTAAGCACCATGTGAACGTGTTGGAATCAGCCCCACTATTCTAATGCTGTTATTACTATTGCTTTTATTGATTGATGTGCTAGAATGTGCTTCTACTTCCTGTAAATATACTTTAGGAATCCAGCCCCCAATTTCAATCTGACTTTCATTTCATCTGTCTTTTCCCTAATGGTTTATTTACTAAGCAGTAAGTTCAAGAATTTAGCCTAAAAATGTTTTCTGAATTGTCTGTTTTTGATGAATTTTTGGCAGCTTTCTGAATAAACCCTTTTTATTGTATTCTCTCTGTTTATATCCATATATGTAAATACCTTTTGTGCAATGTCTCTGTTGAACTGGCTACTGTGGGATATCCAGTATGAAACACAGTTATCCTGATTTACTGCTGTCCATTCTTTATAAATTCACTAAACGAAAATATTATGTAAAAGAACAGCTTATTGCGAACTTGGGCCTCGGTTTAATATTGTTGGATAAACTTTTAAAATGATGTCATTATGAAAATTTATATTTTAATTGTGTAATATTTTCATAGTTTTTGATATACTGATTTATGTTTTTTTGACATTTTAATAGTTTAGTTTGAAAAATTAATTTATTTTAAAAGTTTATGTAAAAATATGAAATCATTTGGAAAGCTTATTAAATATTAAATTGAGGCCTTGGTTGCTATTCCATTTTATATTTATAATGATGTAAGTACTTCCCTGAAAACATACAAATCTCTTCCCTTCTAGCCCACTGTTTACTTGTGCTAACTTTCATTTTACATAACCAAAGAATGGAAAAAAGTCTCTCACATGTATCGAATGCCCATTTGCTCCATCTTTGGCCTTCATCTGACAGAGAAACAAAGTTTGTCTGACAAGGCTCAATTCTGTCCCTCTGTATATCTGCAGAGGTACTGTAAATTATAGCCAATATCCAACACAGTACAGAAGTCTTTCTAGGTGAGGAGAGCCTACAAAGCCTTATTCTAAAAGGGGCGCGCCTACTGGGCCTCATTCCTAAATCATTAAAAACCCACTTCTTCATAAAAGCGTATCAATTAAACTGTTAATAGCTCCCGGCTGATTCCTCTCTTGCAACTGTCATTAGTCTAATACTATCCTTACCTTTTGTGTCACTTTACCCCACTCCCTCTAGCATGTAAGCTCATTGAGCAGAGCCTCGATCCCTCTGTTACTGTCACTATACCCCACTCCCTCTAACATGTAAACTCACTGAGCAGGACCCTCAATCCCTCTGTTACTGTGTCACTATACCCCACTCCCTCTAGCATGTAAACTCACTGAGCAGGGCCCTCGATCCCTCTGTTACTGTGTCACTATACCCCACTCCCTCTAACATGTAAACTCACTGAGCAGGGCCCTCAATCCCTCTGTTACTGTGTCACTATACCCCACTCCCTCTAACATGTAAACTCACTGAGCAGGCCCTCAATCCCTCTGTTACTGTGTCACTATACCCCACTCCCTCTAACATGTAAACTCACTGAGCAGGCCCTCAATCCCTCTGTTACTGTGTCGCTATACCCCACTCCCTCTAACATGTAAACTCACTGAGCAGGGCCCTCAATCCCTCTGTTACTGTGTCACTATACCCCACTCCCTCTAGCATGTAAGCTCATTGAGCAGGGCCTTCAACCTCTCTGTTCCTGTGTGTCCAACTTGTCTGGTTACAACTACATGTCTGTTCGTCCACCCACTGTAAAGCTCTGCAGAAATTGTTGGCGCTATAAATCATCACATAACATAGCATTCTAGTAGGGATGGGCGGGCGTACAGGGCCTCATTCTAGTAGGGGCGGGCGTACAGGGCCTCATTCTAGTAGGGGCGGGCGTACAGGGCCTCATTCTAGTAGGGGCGCGCCTACATGGCCTCATTTTAGTAGGGGCTCGCCTACATGGCCTCATTCTAGTAGGGGCGCGCCTACAGGGCCTCATTTTAGTAGGGGCTCGCCTACATGGCCTCATTCTAGTAGGGAAGGGCTTATTTTTGTAATCTGCTTCTGCACTGTCTAGTACAAAAGCTGAGTGAAACTGTACTGCGTGTGTGGGCATTATGTTCCTAATGTCATTTCTATTAAATGTATCACAGACTCATTTTGGGTAAATTCCAGGATAAATTGTCAGAGTCCTCGTTGAAGTGATTTAGAAACCCTTGAGTTTGCAGAACTTTTGGAAATATGATTACCATTGTAAAACTGTTTTTGAGAAAAGTGTTGATGAAAGTGTAATTGTGATCATTGCAGCTTCACTAAAGAAAATTTGTTATAATTTTTAATTTTTTTCCGTATCACATTTTCCCAAATTCTCCAGCGAACTCCCTACAGCTTTCTGTTTAGTGAATGTGTGCCAGGAAGGCTGTTAAAACATCACAGGGCAATTAGTTATTAGTCCTGAAAATTGCTTCATTAAAAGGGGAACTCACCTGTCATTGACCTTTTAACTCACCTGTCATTGACCTTTTAAATTATAGCAATGATCTAATGTAGGAGTGTCCGATATATGTTCCCTTTCTATAGAGGCATTTTTGCTGGCAGGTTCATAATGCAGACACGTTGCATACCTCCAAAGTGTCCCTATTTACGAGGGACAGTATCCTAATTTGGGCCCAAATCCTGCTGTCCCTCCCTTTTAAAAACATTGTTCTTGTAAATTTATATTTTAGTTTCATCAATTTTTATTAGTAAGTCACTCAAAATATCTCAGAACGTGGTGGAGCTGGCATCGTTCAGGAGCAGACACCATTTCCCCAAGCTCCCCACCACTGAAGCAAATTATTGCCCCAAACTTACAAACCACCCAACATCCAGGGCCCCAACAGTGATAGAAGTGCTGGGGACAGCACACAGGACCCGCAAATGCCTTTTTAAAAACGCCTCGTGCACCAAAACCCAGTGCAGAGTGCCTCTGGCCTACTGCGGGAATCCCGCGGCTGCCGCACATTCCCCTTTGGGATGGGGACGACTTTGACCCGGTACCACTCCCAGCCAGCCCACCTAGGGAACCACTGGAACCCATGAAGGGCCGCAAATCCCTGAAACCGGTGCCGGCAGCAACCGCCTTAAGGCATAGTATTAGCCAGATGCTATCCTCGACTCCCTGCAGCCAGGGGACATTGCCACACCGGCCTGAGACTACTCCCAGCATGGTAGGGGACAAAGGACCTACAGACGAGGCCCGGGCTGCGCCTGGAGCAGAAACACCTGTGGCAAAGGAGGATATACACGACTTACTGGCACACTTCCAGGACATGTTCTTTGCAGAGATCAACCTGGTAAAAACTGAATTACAAGCAGTCACAGAATGCCTCCGAGCATCTGAGAAGGACACTGCTGACCTGAGGCAAGGCATGACAACTCAAGGGGAATCAAGCGGCATCGGCTGCGCACCCTCATAGCATCTGGGTTTGGGAATAATTCTTCATTTGACCCCAGACTCTCATGGAGCAGGTGTTTTTATGCTCATTTTTTATGTGTTATATACAGCCATTGCCTGAGGGCACCAGAGGACTCATTACCCTGTTATACTATAGTTGGATATAAGATAACATGTTCCTCATTGTATGTTCCTCAGCCTCTGGACACATCCCCACTCGCACCCCTAAAATTAAAGTGTCCCTCTTTGTCCATTTGAAATGTTGGGCGGTATGACACTGACCAGCCTCTGTGTCTGTGCACCTACAGTGCTCTGTCCTACATATGTCTGTCAATCAGTGATCCAACCTTTCCATGTGTTTGTGTAGAATCATTTTATGACTGGTCCGTGTTAAGACCTGCATACATTCCCCGTAGTGACTTGTGATGACATCTTATTAAGTCTTGAAAGCTTCACTGGTGAAATAACTCTGTTAGGGCATTCTCTGCACATACATGAACACCTACCTTTTTATAATGAGCCAATACTAAATTATTAACCAACTGCCGGGAATTACTAATATGTTGTGTCCAAGTGCTTTCCTAAATGAACTGTCTGCTTGCTATTGCTACCTTGTATAATGTACTTTTATATCCATCACAGCCAGTCCAATCCATCCATGTAGCTCTGATAAAATGCTTTTCATATTAGTAGGCACTGTGCATTTCAGACTGTCTGGGCTTCGACATGAATTTATCATAATGGATGAGTAATTTTAGATTTTTATCCCTCGCACAGACTGTAAGGCTGGGCTGTCTAGAAGGAAATCAATAGCTTTTGATAGAACCCAACTCCCCAAATATTCAGCCAGTCATAGAAACATAGAATGTGACGGCAGATAAGAACCATTCGGCCCATCTAGTCTGCCCAATTTTCTAAATACTTTCATTAGTCCCTATCCTTATCTGATAGTTAGGATAGCCTTATGCCTATCCCACGCATGCTTAAACTCCTTTACTGTGTTAACCTCTACCACTTCAGCTCGAAGGCTATTCCATGCATCCACTACCCTCTCAGTAAAGTAGTACTTCCTGATATTATATTGTTGTGGTAGTTTTTCTTCTTTTAAATATAGTCTCCTCCTTTACTGTGTTGATTCCCTTTATATATTTAAATGTTTCTATCATATCCCCCCGTATCGTCTTTCCTCCAAGCTATACATGTTGAGATCCTTTAACCTTTCCTGGTAAGTTTTATCCCGCAATCCATGAACCATTTTAGTAGCCCAATGATTGGTTAAATAAATCTGTTAATGGTTTTGCTAGTACACCACTAAGCTCTTTTAATAGCTTTGGGTGTATTCCATCAGGTCCCATTGACTTATTTGTCTTTACCTTTGACAGTTGAAATAGAACCTCTTCCTCTGTAAACTCACGTGTAATAAATGACTCATTTATCCTTTTTCTCAACTGAGGTCCCTTTCCTTCATTTTCTTCTGTAAATACAGAACAAAAATATTCATTGAGGCAGTCAGCCTGACCTTTATCCTCTTCTACATACCTTCCTTCTTTTGTTTTTAATCTAACTAATCCTTGTTTTACTTTTCTTTTCTCATTTATGTATCTAAAAAATGTTTTATCCCCTTTTTTACTGACTGTGCTATTTTCTCTTCTGTGTGTGATTTGGAAGCTCTTATAACTTGCTTAGCCTCTTTCTGCCTAATCTTATAGATCATTTTGTCTTCCTCACTCTGGTTTTTTTTATAATTCTAAATGCTAACTTTTAGTTTTAACTATTTTGGCCACATCTGGGTGCCACAGTGGTTTCTTGAATTTTTGCTTTTACAAGCCTAATGCAATTTTCTGTTGCCTTCAATAGTGCAACTTTTAAATAATCCCATTTCTCTTGGACTCCATTTAAATTGCTCCAGTCTGATAATGACTCCTCTAACCATATTCTAATTTTAGAAAAGTCTGTTTTTCTAAAGTCTAAAACTTTTGTTTTTGTGTGGTGTGACTCAATCACTGTTCTTATATTAAACCACACTGACTGATGATCACTGGATCCTAAACTTTCACCTACAGTAATATCTGATACCAAATCTCCATTTGTTAACACTAAATCTAGTATGGCCTCTTTACGAGTTGGCTCCTCAACAACTTGTTTTAGAGACAATCCCAGTAGGGAGTTTAGAATATGTGTGCTCCTGGCACAAGTAGCTAATTTTGTTTTCCAATTTACATCAGGAAGATTAAAGTCACCCATGATGATAACATCCCCCTTCATTGTCATTTTAGCTATTTCCTCAACTAGTAGATTATCTAACTCTTCAATTTGTCCTGGGGGCCTATAAATCACACCTACACGAGTTACTGTGTGATTACCAAATTCTAGCGTAGCCCAAACGGACTCTATGTTTGCCTCACTAACTTTTATTAGGCTAGATTTTATGCTATCCTTCACATACAAGGCCACCCCACCCCCTTCTTGCCTTCCCTATCTTTCCTATATAAAGAGTACCCTGGTATTGCTATGTCCCAGTCATTTTTCTCATTGTACCATGTCTCAGTAACAGCGACTAAATCTACACTATCAGTTGCCATTATTGCCACAAGTTCATGGATCTTATTCCCTAAACTGCGAGCATTTGTAGACATGACTCTAAGCTTATCATTTTTAACACACTTGCTACAGGCACCTTCTGTCCTTGTTTTTGGGGACAATTGGATTGATGTTTTATCACCCTTTTGCCCCCCCCCTCCTAGTTTAAATACATCCTAGCAAAACCTCTGAACTGCTCACTGAGAACATTTGTTCCCTTTTGAGAAAGATGCAAACCATCTTTTTTGTACAGCTTATCTCCATTCCAAACAGAGCTACCATGAGAAATAAAGCCAAATCCTTGCTCCCGACACCATTCACCAAGCCACAAATTAAAGTCCCTAATACGCATCCGCCTGTCGTTCTGAGTGTTATGCACAGGCAGAACTTCAGAGAATGACAGTGTGGAAGCAGCCTGCCGTATATCATTGGCAAAAACACTAAAAACTTCCTTAACCTCTGAAACCTCATTGCAAGCCAAGTCATTTGTCCCTAGATGGACAAGTACATCCAACTCCCTTCCTGCTTTGCTTGCTTAACAATATTACAGATACGTCTCCTGTCTCTGTGAGCAGTAGCTCCGGGAAGACACCTCACAAGACCACCATTGTCCATCTCCACACCTCTTATAATGGAATCCCCCAACAACAATTGCTTTCTATTAGGCCTCCCCATAGTCTCCAAGCCGGTCTCCACAACACCACTAGACCTTTAAGTCATCAGAAATAATCACCCCTAAATCCCTTTCCTCATATGTTGAGGTTAGGACTCTATCAAATATTCTGTACTCTGCCCTTGGGTTTTTACGTCCAAGATGCATTATCTTGCACTTATCCACATTAAATGTCAGTTGCCACAATTCTGACAATTTTTCTAGTTTACCTAAATCATTTGCCATTTGGCTTATCCCTCCTGGAACATCAACCCTGTTACATATCTTAGTATCATCAGCAAAAAGACATACCTTACCATCAAGACCTTCTGCAATATCACTAATAAAAATATTAAAGAGAATGGGTCCAAGTACAGATCCCTGAGGTACCCCACTGGTGACAAGTCCAAGCTTCGAATATATTCCATTAACTACAACCCTCTGTTGCCTGTCACTCAGCCACTGCCTTACCCATTCAACAATATTGGAATCCAAACTTAAAGATTGCAGTTTATTGATAAGCCTTCTATGTGCAACAGTGTCAAAAGCCTTACTGAAATCTAGGTAAGCAATGTCTACTGCACCACCCTGATCTATAATTTTAGTTACCCAATCAAAAAAATCAATAAGATTAGTTTGGCATGATCTCCCTGAAGTAAACCCATGTTGTCTCTGATCTTGAAATCCATGTGTTTTTAGATGTTCATCAATCCTATTCTTTAACATGGTTTCCATCACTTTCCCCACTACTGAAGTAAGGCTTACTGGCCTATAGCTGCCCGACTCCTCCCTATTACCTTTCTTGTAAATGGGCACAACATTTGCTAACTTCCAATCTTCTGGGACTACTCCTGTTAACAATGATTGGTTAAATAAATCTGTTAATGGTTTTGCTAGTACACCACTAAGCTCTTTTAATAGCTTTGGGTGTATTCCATCATTTTGTCTTCCTCACTCTAGGTTTTTTTTATAATTCCTAAATGCTAACTTTTAGTTTTTAACTATTTTGGCCACATCTGCGGAGTACCACAGTGGTTTCTTGAATTTTTTGCTTTTACTGACAAGCCTAATGCAATTTTCTGTGCCTCTCTCCACAACACCACTAGCCTCAGTGCCTCTCTCCACAACACCACTAGCCTCAGTGCCTCTCTCCACAACACCACTAGCCTCAGTGCCTCTCTCCACAACACCACTAGCCTCAGTGCCTCTCTCCACAACACCACTAGCCTCAGTGCCTCTCTCCACAACACCACTAGCCTCAGTGCCTCTCTCCACAACACCACTAGCCTCAGTGCCTCTCTCCACAATACCACTAGCCTCAGTGCCTCTCTCCACAATGCCACTAGCCTCAGTCTCTCCACAACACCACTAGCCTCAGTGCCTCTCTCCACAACACCACTAGCCTCAGTGCCTCTCTCCACAATACCACTAGCCTCAGTGCCTCTCTCCACAATACCACTAGCCTCAGTGCCTCTCTCCACAACACCACTAGCCTCAGTGCCTCTCTCCACAACACCACTAGCCTCAGTGCTTCTCTCCACAACACCACTAGCCTCAGTGCATCTCTCCACAACACCACTAGCCTCAGTGCCTCTCTCCACAACACCTTTACACTCTGAAAGTGCAGAAAATTAATTATGAAGAGCACAGACTGTGCAAAATGCCTTTTATCCACAACTCTAAGTCTACCAGATCCTACAGTAATCCATCTGCCTTTCCTAGTATGTCTCTGCGGCAGTGGCTTTGCAGCAGTTCCAGTCTGAGTTTGTTCACCAGATAATTTACAAATCTCAGACTTCAAAAATAAAATCTCCTGCTGCAAGAAAGAGAACTGTCTACAGATTAGACAACAACCAAACCTCTAAAAAGTGGAACGTGAAACAAATGCATAGCAATTGTTACACTGAACTAAGTCTGCCATTCCAATTAGGAGAATAATTTAAATCTAACAAATCTTAACTTTGTATTTATCCTCCTGAATACCTCAGATTACCTCCAGTTTATCTCCAGAATATCTCCAACTACACACTTAGAAACAGCACTCTCCAGAATATCTCCAACTACACACTTAGAAACAGCACTCTCCAGAATATCTCCAACTACACAGTCCTTTAAATGTATTGGTGCATATATACTGCCTCCTTTCTCTGAAATTTCATAACCGAAATCCCGCAATGTTTCCATTTAGCAAGGAACAGGCCTCTAGCGTCTCTCAGGGACTGTCACTAGAGGCGCTTCCTCCTTAAAGTAACACTCCAGCAATTCAGCTTTTTTATACGTTGTGTTTTCTTTTCTTTTCTTTTTTTTGACAGTTTATAAAGGTCACAATTTCTATTGAGGACAGATACGTCACTTAGACAGTCAGGAATGTTTCTTTCTCTTAGGACAAACGTTACATAAATATGTTATCAGTGTTGGGTCTGATTATCTTTGTAAATTACACTGTATTTGATGTCTCACTGGTGTTGATGTATACTGTGGTATATTTTGTTTCAAACAAGCTTTATAAAAAAAATCACAAGCATATCAAAAACATAAATAAAAATTTCAAAACCTACTAGCTTTATTGTGGATTCTCCTTTTTGGTCTTTCTGAGATTTAATAACTATACAAGTTCCAAGATGCCCAAAAAGGAGCATTTAAGAAAATGGTTATACATATATTGATCGCAACCAAACTGTACAGAAAGTACGTGGCAATCTGAATATTTTTTTTTTTAATTCTTTTTTCTGTGCATGAAAATTACAAGCTTGTGTACTGTGCCACAACAGCACGCATATCTTAATCATTGAAATTCACATTTTGGCACTAGAGAACTGCACATTTGTTTTTTGTTTTTTTTATATCATGTTGGTACACGCTAGACACATTTTGTAGGCTAATATTGAAACGTGGGTACAATAGACCTATGTCAGTAAGCGGTGGTGAAACAGCGGGGTAGACTCTACTCATGAGTGATAAACTTAAAACATAAAAGCTGCAAGGCAACTGTTGTGTAGTGTAGGGCTGTTAGCTCCTATGGGTGATGTTCACTTAGTGTTGTAGGTATGTGGGTAGGTGGGATGCGGTCTGCCCACTGAATGAAAAGATTTAACTTATGCATCGGTGTTGCATATAAGAGAGCAGTGCGATATAAAAGTCAAATCATATAACCGTATTGTATCCTCCGTGGGTGCGGGTCTCAGTCTCTGGGTTTCCAGATTGGGGATTCGTCCGACTCCGGCTTTTGGCAGGTACCGCTTGTGGTCGGGGGGTGCAGTGGTATCCCCCTGCGCCTTTTTGTTGGTCTGCGGCTGGTGCTGGGCCTTGTGAATGCGAGGTTTGTTCAGTTGAGGTGTCTCCTATCCCAGCTGTAGTGAGGAGCTGTTGTTGGCTGGGTACATGGTGGGTGGTTGGGAACCTCGACCCCCTCAGGTGTGTCACATCAGGACTTTGGTGTCTCTTTCGGGTGTAGGGGGGACTTTGGGGCCCTCTCGTATGTGGCTTTGGCGCCGTTGCTTGGGCTCTGCATGTCTGCTTTGAACGTCTGTTGCCCCTTTGTCGTTTCTTCAGCCGAGCCGTAGTGTCGGTTAACCGCTCCTGTGGTATTGCAGCCTTGGTAGAGCGCCTCGGCCGTGCACAGGGAGGTGACATTGATGCGGTGTCGTTGTAGCCGGTGTCGGAGCAGTAGGTAGGTTCTTCTCTCCTAATCGCTCCCAAAAGTTCTGTCAAACAGCGTCAAATTTAGCCCGGAAGGCCGCTGCCCATTCGTCAGCAGTCTGTTGCCTTGAGCTAGCCTCTCTGCTGTCGGCCATTTTGGATTGGCCTCATGGCCAATGCGCTTTAGAGTGCTCCCAAGGTGAGTGCTCCCCGTAGGTGGGTGGACCGGGATGACCCCTGCCGGTCCATGGGGGGGTTGACAAGGGCCCTTAGTCTCCGAGGCAGCTAGTTGCAGCGGTGGGAGAGCGGCCGGCCCTCCCACGCTCGCCATGTGAGTAGGCCCCGGACACCTGACCAGTAAGTGTAGCTTGTAGTGCCGCTTATGGGGTGTCATTCTGCTCTGCTTAGTGTTCCCTTTCAAGTGCTGGCCTTTGTGGCCGGATTAGCCGCTTTTGGGTCGTGAAATTTAAGTTTTAGAGTAGCTTGGTGCAGGAGCTCTTGAGGTTCACGTCCTCTCGGCTCTGCGGTCAGGCCCCGCCCCTGCAATCTGAATTTTTACCTACACTTTCTACAGTAATTCACAATTTAAACTACAGTATCTATATGAAGTGATCTCTTATATGATAACAGGATTGCTAAATAATCATTTCATAGTGTGGTCCCATTTCAATGCCCCCAACCCCAATCTAGCTGGTTCCTCAGTTTCAATCCGCACACAACGGTCTGCCCTCATGGACTAGCTGTCTATTCTGTGTGTAACTTCCTCCAACAGTCAATGTTCATATACGAAATGTTTCAATGACTTGCGTGTGTTCTACTCACTCCATGGAACTGTGGCAAGATTTTGATAATTTTATACCTCTGTTGTTCTTATTATTATTTTTAGAGCACCAACAAGCTCCAGAGTTCTGTACAAGGTTCATTTTGTACTGTTATGAAAAAATTATGCAGTGGAAAAATCAAACACACAAAAAAGCAATCGAAAACATACAGATAACGTGGTATTTTGCATATTAGGCATTCTGAGAATTTCCTTAAATTTTTTTGTTTAAAGGGGAACAATCACTTTATAGATAATTACACCAATTGAATAAATTAAGTTTAAAATTACCTATAACTTCTGTTAACTCCTTAAGGACCAAACTTCTGGAATAAAAGGGAATCATGACATGTCACACATGTCATGTGTCCTTAAGGGGTTAAACCCTTTTTTATGTGATATATATTTTTTTCTTCCATTTTTATTTAAATGAATATTAAAGATTTAAGCATTTGACACACAATCTGGTTCCGTCCCATCATTGCCAGGGCAAACATTGCATTGGAGGAGAAATGAAAACATTGTTTCAGTTTTTCAATGACAGAAAAGGGCAAAGCTTATAACAATCATTGTCAGAGTGCCAAGATGGAGGTGCACAGGTCCAGAACAGAAGTAAATAGACTGGTGGGATTTCTATATTTAATTTTATTTTCAGATTCCATTTTCATATACTGTCTCCTTTCTCTGAAATTTCATAACCGAAAACCAATATTTGTTAAATATAGAGCATAAATACTAATATTGCACACAATCCAGGGAAGTGGCAATACCCTTTAAACCATTGAGATGACGTGGTCTGGGTGATGGCGTTGGTGTCCCTTTAAGTATGTGATTCAAAACTGTGATTCTTTCATATATAATTTTAAACATCTGTATTAAGGAAATTTTTTATTTAGAGATTACTTTATTTACTTTTTTTTTCTTTTAAGAAAAGTGTCCATTGCATTAATTTTCCGTGTTTCATTCTGCATTAATTGAAGAATTCGCAGAACCATGCCTCTAGATCGAGACCAGGTTTGCCCCAAAGATGACGCTTCTGGCGAAAGTAAACAAAGTGACCACTCCGATCCTACGCAGGAATCTGACCGAAAGAGAATTCGCCAAAGCACTCCAAGCCCTCACCGGGAGATTGCAGTCCAGCGTGAGTATAGAATTATATGAAGGTCTATTCTTCTCAGCTATGTACATTGTTAATTTTAGTTTCATTTTAAATTTTTTTTTAGTTACATAGCTGAAAAGAGACCTGTGTCCATCAAGTTAAGCCTTTCTCACGTTAGATTTTTGCTGTTAATCACAAAAAAAACAACCCTAGGGGAAAAAAATCCTTCTTGACCCTAGAATGGCAGTCCAATATATCCTTGGATCACAAAGCTATTACCCCACTAATTAGAAATTATTTCCCTGTATATTATGCTTTTTCAAGTATTTATCCAACTGCTGTTAAAACACCTGTATAGACTTTGATAAAACCACCTATTCAGATGGAGAATTCCACATCCTTATTGTTCTTACTGTGAAAAATAGCCCTTTCCTTTGCACTAGACTAAATCTCCTTTCTTCCAGTCTAAATGCGTGACCTTGTGTCCCATGTATAGTCCGGTTTAAGAATAGATTTCCAGACAAGGGTTTGTATTGGCCCCGAATAAATTTGTATAATGTTATCATATCCCCTCTTAGGCACCATTTTTCCAAACAAGAGATATAGATTTTACATTTATTAAAAATAATAGGAGACATTTGCCTTATTTAGTCTGTAGATAGATTACCCATTCCCAATATCAAGTCATGTCATCATTTATTGTTGATTTTTATAAAAAAATTAATTATATCTCATGATCTATCCATTATTACAATGGTCAGATCATGTTATCAAGTCCCATAGCGCAAAGTGAGTGACATCGTCCAATGACACCAGGTGTCACAATGCCACTGGCAATGTGCGATATAGGACCACTAATCTCAGGAGAGCACTGGGACCTATGTGTCCTGTCCTGTGGACCACTGTAAACACTGTAGTGACCCTGTGCTTTTTTGTTTTTTAAATTTATAATCTTTATTAGTTTTCATGTTGTACATACATTGAATGACCTAAGACAGACCTAAAACTAACAATAAATGTTATATTGACTTAATATTAATATTAGAGACAAAAAACAAGAAGGGGGGAAAAAAAACACCCAAACAAATCTAAACTCCTTGTGGAGAAGGGGTGGGGGGAGTACCCATCTAAGTCAGTTCAGAGGTTGAAAAACAAAGGGAAAGCAGTTTGCCGCTCGATGTCATGGGTAAGGACCTCTGACTTATAGTTTCTCAACTTGCTCCAACCATTTTTTGTACATATTGTTTGATGCCCTACAGATGCCCATCTCAATTTTAATTTGCTAGATAAGTTGAACTTTAACCTGATGCCAGCAATGGGCTGAAACAATCTTCAAGCTTCTGGCAATCAGAACCTTGGCGGGAGCCAAAATGTGTATCACAATAGTTGAAGCTCAACCCAAAATGTTTTAAATGTTTAATTGTAATAACAAAAGTCTAGGATGGAAATCAATCGTTTTTAGAAAGTAAAGTTTGAATTTTAATGTGAATCATGTTCCAAAAAATTTGGATAGGTTGACATTCCCACCATATATGCTAGAAATCTCCTCTATGAGCCAGGCATCTCCAACATTTATCCGAGACATTGGGATAGAGCCTAGACAACCTAGGTACCATTTCTTTAACAGTTTGTATTGGATCTCAGATGGGTTTAAATATTGGATATTTTATGAACCATTTTCAGTTATTCATTCGAGAGACAGAAAGGAAGAGTGGAAGCTTAATGGTATTGAAACTTAGGCAGTAAAGGGGTTAACCCTAACCAATATAACTCAAAAGAAAAAAGGAAAGAACTACTGCCATAGAATAAGTAAGGTTAAAAGTTAACTTTTAATAGTCTAATTAAAAAAAAGGATAAAGGGTGAATATAGAAACTCTCAATACACCAATAGGGAGTATAAAGAGATGAATAATACACATCAATTAAATGATTATAATGTCCAAATTGTTGCAACTTGATCATTTGACATATAATCAGCAGTAAGCTGATCACTGATCGTTGCTAGAAACTAAAATTGCAGTTGCTAATGGCTAAATACTAGTGATCATGTCTATATAGATCGTCTCACTATATTATAATGAAGATCAACTGCCGCTGCTGCAAAACTAAGTTAGCTTGTTAGTCGGAAAGAAAAGCCCTGATAAGCCTACCCCAAACCCCAATAAGCTATCTATGTAAAAATAATTACTATGCTGTACGGTACAAAATGACCCCAGAAAGTGATCTATCAAATGCAAAGTGATAAATGGTGGTTGGAGAGAAGGGGAGCAATCTCCCAGAAAAAACCCAGGGGGATTGCTCCCCTTCTCTCCAACCACCATTTATCACTTTGCATTTGATAGATCACTTTCTGGGGTCATTTTGTACCGTACAGCATAGTAATTATTTTTACATAGATAGCTTATTGGGGTTTGGGGTAGGCTTATCAGGGCTTTTCTTTCCGACTAACAAGCTAACTTAGTATTGCAGCAGCGGCAGTTGATCTTCATTATAATATAGTGAGACGATCTATATAGACATGATCACTAGTATTTAGCCATTAGCAACTGCAATTTTAGTTTCTAGCAACGATCAGTGATTCTCCCATTTAGAATACGTAGGAATAGTGCACAGTATTCATTGGGACGTCCGGCAGATTCATTTATTTTTCGGCTAGTTAGCTTATTTAGTGGGGTTTTGTAGAGGTAGGTGCCCATGAAGGCACAGTCAGTTTTGACAATATCGTTTTACAAACTCTGATTGGGATCTTTATCAATCGTTTCTACCTCTTATGGACAAATATTTTCACACTGGTTTGTAGCATTAATCAATAGTAAGCAGTAATTTGCAACTATTTAGCCATTTGAAAGTATCAATTTAGAACAATTTTATACACTAGCTTACTGCTGATTATATGTCAAATGATCAAGTTGCAACAATTTGGACATTATAATCATTTAATTGATGTGTATTATTCATCTCTTTATACTCCCTCTTGGTGTATTGAGAGTTTCTATATTCACCCTTTATCCTTTTTTTTAATTAGACTATTAAAAGTTAACTTTTAACCTTACTTATTCTATGGCAGTAGTTCTTTCCTTTTTTTCTTTTGATTTTCAGTTATTCTGTCCATTCCTCACAGCTAATATCAATTAGTGACCCTGTGCGTTTATGAGTACAGCTCCGTTATAGGGACACATTGGTGCAGCTTGGCACTTTCATAATATATATTTTTTATTTTATTATTAAAAAAAGACAGGTTTAAATGCAGATTAGATTGATGTTTTTAACTTTGAACAAAGATGATATTTTTTAACTCCTTGTAATAAAACTTTATTTTTTATTGGTTGTTTTACCTTTATTTTCATGGAAGTGTTTAGCCTTCGATGACCATCTCTATAATACTCTATAGTAATAATGAAATATGTAGTTGGAATATAAAGTCTGTGTTTCACTATCTTATATTTAAAGGAACACTATAGTCACCTAAATTACTTTAGCTAAATAAAGCAGTTTTAGTGTATAGATCATTCCCCTGCAATTTCACTGCTCAATTCACTGTCATTTAGGAGTTAAATCACTTTGTTTCTGTTTATGCAGCCCTAGCCACACCTCCCCTGGCTATGATTGACAGAGCCTGCATGGAAAAAAAAAACTGGTTTCACTTTCAAACAGATGTAATTTACCTTAAATAATTGCATCTCAATCTCTAAATTGAACTTTAATCACATACAGGAGGCTCTTGCAGGGTCTAGCAAGCTATTAACATAGCAGGGGATAAGAAAATCTTAATTAAACAGAACTTGCAATAAAGAAAGCCTAAATAGGGCTCTCTTTACAGGAAGTGTTTATGGAAGGCTGTGCAAGTCACATGCAGGGAGGTGTGACTAGGGTTCATAAACAAAGGGATTTAACTCCTAAATGGCAGAGGATTGAGCAGTGAGACTGCAGGGGCATGTTCTATACACCAAAACTGCTTCATTAAGCTAAAGTTGTTCAGGTGACTATAGTGTCCCTTTAATTGGAATATAGACGATTAAATAGTTCTTCCATGCATATCTGCCCCTACGAACGTCTTTTATTTCCTTTCCCTACAAGTACCTGTTTCTGTATTGACCCTGTTGCTTGTTCCCATGCAGAGAGTCCACCTCGGCTTGTGACCGAGAGAGAACTCATGGAAGCTGCTCAAGGAGTTACGAACATGGCTTTGGCTCATGAGATTGTTGTTTCTGAAGGGTTCCAGATCAAACCTGTGGAGCTTCCTGATGACAGGTGAGTTGGAATGTTTGCCAAGAATCTGTTCCATCGAACTCCAGAGATTCGGAGGCCAAGCCTGCACTGCCTACCCACGTACAGTAGGATGTGTACATGGGGAAACTCCCAGTATGTTCACAATAATAAAAAATAAAAAAAGGCAAACTTATACTAAGGCTGACAATAACACCTTTCAGTTTGTATCCTTACGTTCTGGTATTAAATGGAAACAATTCAACCAGAATAACAACATTTCAATGAGAATCAAATCACTAATCTGAATGTTTTCATCAAGACACCACCCCAAAAAAATATAAAAGCTTAGAAAAAAAATAATAAATAAACTTTATTGAAAGCACACAGTATATAAAAAATACAAAAACTAGATACTGATTAAGTAAATTGGCTATCAGTCACTGTCTGGTTAGTTCTGTGGTAGCATAGATAAGTTCCCTAGGGATATAACAATCCTGTTTTGAACAAAATTATAGAAACATAGTTGCATTGCTTATATACAAAGACTCAACCTACGGATAATCAGTAGGTGCCATCAGTAGGTGGCTTTCCTGTTTATCTTATTAAACTTTTGTTGTATTTTTTACGTAGTTTGCAGAAGAGAGTCCGGGACATTTTACACAAAGCATTCTGGGATTGCTTGGAGGCCCAGTTCAAAGAAGAACCCCCAGTGTATGATCATGCCATTATTCTTTTGGGAGAAATAAAAGAGGTTAGACACAATAATTTAATCTTTGATTCTGTAATAATACAATTATGATGATGTCTTACTTGCATGGGGTACATGTCATTTACACTCCAGGAACATTGGCTGACATTTTAGAGTCATTTCCTTGCCCTAAATGAGCAGTAAAGGGAGTCGTTATGGAATATAGACAGAGCATAAGAGAATTACAGTTATTTATGTATCTCCAACATTTTCCCAGCACTGTACAAAAGGTAAACAAGACAATTACTTAATTTTTACAAAAGATGATTGATATACTGGAACAGCAGGTGAAGATGGCCACATTGGGTGTAAATAGTGCAAAAAGAGACAAATATTCATAAAAAGTAGGTGAGCCTAAAACCTACAATTCCTGTCTAAAGGAAAGTGATCTCCACGAGGATCTATAGACTTATAAAACCGGGATGCCAGTGGACAGGCATACACGGAGAATGCCAGGGAGTGGGGCACAGAATTTTTGCATTTTTAGCAATGGAACCCATCGAAGGGCAAGCTACTGAGTTACTCTAAGCTTTTTGTCCGTTCTCACAGTTCTCATTCTTTCTTTTTGCTTCAATACAAAACTAGTTAGCTGTTAGTTTGTTAGTAACAAGGGACTGTATATAATATGGTACCTATTATAATAGGACAACGATTTATTTTCTAGTTATGCAGCAGGCGGTATACTAAATATTAATATTTATTTATATATATATATAGTGTGTGTATGTGTGTGTGTGTGTGTATATATATATGTATATATGTATATATGTATGTATAGTATATATGTTATATATATATATGTATGTATATATATATATATGTATATATATATGCTAAAAGAGAAAATGTATTGTGGCCCACAGTAGGTTATGGTTCATAAAACCTTGGTGCCCTTCCAGAGTAATTTGTCAAAGTATCTTATTTTATACATAGCAATATATCTTTTTTTTTTTTTTTTTTTTTTTTAATTAAGGATTTGCAAGAAATTTACAATACATATTGACATTCCCTGCTTAAAATACACAATAATCAAGACAAGACAAGTTCCAGTAAGATACAATAAACATTATTCAATCAATTAACATAATTTAACTATGAGGCGACGGACCAATGGGTCTTAAAACAGTACATTTAATCAAAAACAAACACACACAAAAAAAACATTGATATCATGTCTCCTCCTCCTCCAGTATTTTCTCCAACCATAACTTCCAAATTATCTTTTTTTTTTTTATTTTTTTTATTTATAAGCAAAATTCAGATAACCTAAATTGCATCTCTAATTTCCATTGGGCTATCTTCGGCCAATTCATCTCATTAGTACACCGTTCCTTGCTATAACGAACATTGTGCTAATTAATATGTGTGTAATAACATGTTAAACTTCCCAGAAAACATTTGGCCAATTCATGAGCAACAACAAAATTCAACCTGAGAGAAATTCAGTGTTATACCAGTCAATTATGTAATTTTAACTTGTATCAGGTCTTTTCAATTTTGTTCCATGACCACCAAGAATGAACATATGTGCCTTCAACCACTCCACTTCTCAGACACATGAATGATAAAGATTGAAACATTGTCGTTAATCTACTTGGTACAAAGTACCACCTGATCATTAATTTATAAAACGTTTCCACCAAAGTTAAGCAATTAATAGACTTTTTAACTTTCCAAAGAGGCAATTCAGACTGACTTTTTGATCTGGTAATTCAGCTCCGAGCTCAACTGCTTAATTGCTGGAATTTCTTTTTGATCATTTTTAAAACGGATGACATCTATGTACTCACTCAAGTGTGTCTGTGAGCTATCCGAAGAAATTTACAAAAAAAATCCAATTTGCCAATTAAGAGTCTAGGGCTGTTTCTTCGATGTTTATAAAACCCATAACTCTAATATAGTTAAAAATCTCATTGTCTGCATATAAAACTCTTGTTTCCAATGTTGGAAAGAGTTAAGAGTCTCTATCCATTATGCTTGCAAGTCTTTTAATACCCTTATTCCCAGCTGTTCAAATATAAACAGTCCACTTCTGAGGATATAAACCTTCACACAGTCTATGAAACCATTCTCCCAACTTGCCAATCTCAAATTGAAAAATGTTCATAAAACCATCAAACTATCATCTTTATACTTATCACTAAGCCACGGCAATATCGTTAAATCTTGTATATTCAATTTTGCATGTTCAATTTTAGCCCAGTTCTCTTGGGAATTGTGTATATACAATGCGTATTAATAACATGTTTCAAAAGACAAGCCAGATGATATTCTACTATGTTTGGCATGGAAAGTCCGCCCTTATTTGGATTATTTGTTATAAACCCTTAACTCATTCTCGACTTTTCCCCGCCAAATATGAAAGGAAAGGGGATTTTAAAAGCGATCGTTCAAACCAAATACAACACCTTGGATAAATAATAAGCCTTAACCACATTGATGCTTCCCCACCATGAAAACTTCACAAACCTTCGGTTTTTTTTTAAAATTCCAAATAAACTTTCTTTAATAATGGTAAGTAAGAAGTTATACATTCATATCCACAGTTATTATTTTACCCAAATATTAAATGTCTATTTTAATCCAAAATCATATTTTTACTGTAATTTTTTAATATACACTTTTTCCAAACTGACTGGTAAGGCAGTTATTTTGTTAATATTGAGTCCATAATTAAATACTTTATCAAATTCTTCTATCTTTGCCATCAATCAGTCTAAAGAAAACAAGGATTCTCAAGGGTCACCAGTATGTTATCCGTATATAAACTTAATTTAAAAGATAAGTCACTCATTCGGAAGCCTTCCATACCACTATCGTCTCTGATTTTAATTTCCAAAGGCTTTAATGAACTAATTTATAATAGGGGAGAAAGAGGGCACCCCTGTCGCGTGCCATTAAAGATCTTAAACCAATTCAAATGAATGCTGTTAACAATTGTTCTTGCAATTGGTATAGTATAGAGCACCATTATAACCTCGAGGAACCAACCCTCATAATTAAAACCTTCCAATTCTATGAATTTCCAGCAAACCCTATCAAAATCCTTCTCCGCAACCAAACTCAAAATCTGCAAAGGAATCTCTTTATTCTGAGCCAAATACAATATCTAATAGTTTCCAGATATTATTACTTGAAGATCTTAAGACTAGTTTGATCATTATTTATTTATTTATTTGGACAACCTTTACTTTTATTTTTCATTTATAAAGGTCAAGGCATATTGTTACAGCGGTGGACATGTAACATTGTTGAGTACATAGTAGGCGTTTCGGCACCTAGTTAATAAGAACTCTAATTACAGTGGGAATAAAACACAATTAAACATTTTGTCAGAAGTAGTGTTTCTACTTTTCTGAAAATTGCAGCATTGAAGCATTGGTATGTCGGTTAACACAAAGGTGCCCTATCATTAACTATGTCTGGTGATACTATGCCTTTAACTAGTAGAGTCAAGGAGTTCGTCCTGGTGTAAGAGGGTTAAGGGAATCTGTAAAATCAGGGGTGGGTATGTGGGAAATAGGAAAGAAAACAAGGAAAAAAACAACTCTGCTAGTCAGTTTTGGGCTTAATCATTTACTCTGTCTGCGGAGATGTTTTATTTATTATATATTGAATTGCTTTCTTGAGTCTGGATGTGAGAATTGAAGCATATAACTTCATGTCTCCATTTAATAGGGAGATTGGACATTAGTGTGTGACATAAGAAAGTAATCATAGTTTGTGACATAAAATCTTGCCCATGTTTTAGTATTGGAATGCAGGGCATAGAGACGCTGAACATCAGTGTTGCACATTGTGCAGCACTGGCCCAGGACGCATTTCTAGTGGCCGTCTGAGGAGTAACCACTTGAGGTGTTACTAGGCAGCAATGTAAACTCTGCATTTTCTCTGAAGAGGTAATGTTACATTGTTTAGTTTTATTCTTAGTCTTTAAATTTATCAGCTTTATTGCCCTTATAATAATGTTCCTCTTTAAGATATAGTAACGTCTTACTAGTTTCCTCTATCAGGAGGTGATTGATTTTATTTTTGAGTTACTTGAATAGTTTTCCTGAGAAGAAGATATTTTTTTATTAATTTGTGATAATACTTAAAAACAATCTGCTATTTTTTTAACTCTATCAGCATTGAGCTTAATCAAGAGCCCGCATATCATCGCTTTGTACGCACACCATACTCCTGCATCTCCGACAAGCCCATTATAATTATCCGTGAACAAGGTATCTGTATTCTGAACAACCTATTCTAAATTATCACAATCTCTCAGCAAAATAAATAAATAAAAAAAAATTCTCCAATAAATTCTGAAAGATAAGTTTTTCCCATTCAGCACCATTATGACCATATTATGATCTGACCACACCGTTTCTTTTATACATTTTTTTTTTATTATTATTATGTTTATAAGGGCTAAATTTCCAAAAATTAGGTCAATTCTAGAATAAGAGCAGAAGGAGCTTGAAAAGTAGGTAGTCTTTTTCTCCCAGGTGGTATACATGCCATGTATCTCTCAGGATTATCCTAGTTATGTATTCACGAAAAGCTATTTTTATCTATTGTAATTGGCATTCCTCTTTTTTATTAAAATGACGAACACCGTACCAGTTCCAATTTATCTGATATAAATTTTAGTATCTCATCTTTTCTTCAGTGCGTTTTCTTGCAGAAAAGCCACATTTATTTTTTCCTATTTTAAAGTTTTTTTTAAATGCAATAGACCTTTTGAACGGAGTGTTAAGACCTTGAATGTTTATTGTGAGAAATTAAAAACCCCTGGGAAGTATCTATATCCAGATCCGATGCCACATAACATAAACAAAACATAACAAACCCCCCAATAAGGATATATTAAACCCAATCATAGACCCCAGTTCCATCATCTGGTTCGTGTCTAACCCAAGTTTAAACATAGTCCTCCCAGTTCCATCATCTGGTTCGTGTCTAACCCAAGTTTAAACATAGTCCTCCCAGTTCCATCATCTGGTTCGTGTCTAACCCAAGTTTAAACATAGTCCTCTATAAAGAGATTGAAAGGGGAAGCTGTGTTAATATAAATTAGTAGAATAAATATAAAAATAATGCTAAGGAGAGAAGAAGAGGAAAAAATAATTATCAACACCTAAACAATATATAAAATCTATGTAACAAATCATAAATTTGTAAACTAGAAAAATGGTCAGAATTGTGGCAACTGACATTTAATGTGGATAAGTGCAAGATAATGCATCTTGGATGTAAAAACCCAAGGGCAGAGTACAGAATATTTGATAGAGTCCTAACCTCAACATATGAGGAAAGGGATTTAGGGGTGATTATTTCTGATGACTTAAAGGTAGGCAGACAATGTAATAGAGCAGCAGGAAATGCTAGCAGAATGCTTGGTTGTATAGGGAGAGGTATTAGCAGTAGAAAGAGGGAAGTGCTCATGCCATTGTACAGAACACTAGTGAGACCTCACTTGGAGTATTGTACACAGTACTGGAGACCGTATCTTCAGAAGGATATTGATACCTTAGAGAGGGTTCAGAGAAGGGCTACTAAACTGGTTCATGGATTGCGGGATAAAACTTACCAGGAAAGGTTAAAGGATCTTAACATGTATAGCTTGGAGGAAAGACGAGACAGGGGGGATATGATAGAAACATTTAAATATATAAAGGGAATCAACACAGTAAAGGAGGAGACTATATTTAAAAGAAGAAAAACTACCACAACAAGAGGACATACAGTATATACTCGAGTATAAGTCTAGTTTTTCAGCACATTTTTTGTGCTTAAAAACCCCCACTCGACTTATACTCGAGTCACTGTCTGTATTATGGCAACTTAGAGAGCAGCGGCCGTCAGAGCCATGGCAACGATCCGCGCGGCAACCAGACCGCGAGACTTACAGTGGAGCTGACCGGAACGGAGGAGAAGGGAGCTGACAGGAGCTGCAGGAAAGGTAAGTAAATGCTTCCTGCCGGCCCCTCCACTTCACAGCCAATGCCACTGGACCACCAGGGATTAAGATAGCCCCCCTCCCTGACCGGTTAACAAGCAGGGAGGGGGGACAAAAAAAATTTAAATAATATTAAAATAAAAAAAATTAAAATAAAAATGCCCTCCCCCCACCCAGTTCACACACACTACACAAACACACACTCTGCATTATATACACAGAATCTGTGTATATAATGCAGAGTGTGTGTTTGTATGAGTGTGTGTATATATAATGCAGAGTGTGTGTTTGTATGAGTGTGTGTGTATATAATTATAAAAATCACAGAATTTCATAGCCCCAAGTTTTACCCTCGACTTATCCACGAGGCATAGCATATTTCACAATTGTTGGTCACAAAACTGCACTCGACTTATACATGAGATCGACTTATACACGAGTATATACGGTAGTCTTAAATTAGAGGGACAAAGGTTTAAAAATAATATCAGGAAGTATTACTTTACTGAGAGGGTAGTGGATGCATGGAATAGCCTTCCAGCTGAAGTGGTAGAGGTTAACACAGTAAAGGAGTTTAAGCATGCGTGAGATAGGCATAAGGCTATCCTAACTATAAGATAAGACTGGGGACTAATGAAAGCATTTAGAAAATTGGGCAGACTAGATGGGCCGAATGGTTCTTATCTGCCGTCACATTCTATGTTTCTATGTTTCTATAAACATCAACCTTAAAAATCCTCATGGTAATGTTATCCCCCACATTTTACTGTGTATAATAAGCTTGAAGCAAAAATCTGTGTAAATAATAACACTCCGATACAATTATACATAGACTATGTTCAAACCAAATGTAAAGACTGTCCTAGTAACCCCAAAATTTGAAAAAACAAAAAACACCTTGTAACGGATCACCTGGCACCCCGAATGGGTACCTCCGTTAAAGGATGCTCCTAGCGCTTCCTGAGGACTCCAAGCACTGCAGCAGACACCACAACCACCGAACCGGAGAAGCATATGAATCCTCTCAAGCATATGAATGCTGTAGACAGTTGAATAGGAACCATACGAATAGGTTTACTCTCCTAGCAGTCAAACTGGAACAGCATACAATAAATCCTTCCCCAATAATGAGACGACACTTCACTTTGAGGGTTAAGCAGGAACT